ACACGAGAAAATAACTTAAATTTGTTATTGTCATTTATAATTCATCGTAACTCTACAGTCTACTTATTTTACATGATTAATAAATTATAATGTGGTACTCTCATAAAAATAATAATAATAATAATAATAATAATAATGTGCTTTTGAGGTATATTGGAAAACTAGTTTTAAAATTTATTTTTTGTCCTTATCTTGATACTAATTTTCAATTTATTCCCCACTGAAAAACTAATAAGACAAATTATTCATAAGAATTTTCATTAGGTTGAGTCAATTGAAGTTATAAAAAAAAAGTACGTCATATAAACTATGAAATTATTTGTATTGAACTTGTTGAATAGAAAGAATGCAAAAATTGGAGCAATAATAATTTTTTGAGCAATTCTTTGTACCATCCTTTCTATTTTGAGAATCAACTTCTTTCACTTGCCTGCAATTTGGATCTTATCTATTCAACTTCAAATTTAACATTTTTGTATGTTATTGAGAATATGAGATATTCATAAAAGTATTAGGTGCATAAATTTGCACACCCAACATCGTAGTTCTCTAATACATACAAGCTTGAACATCGTGGTAACCATTGCTCATTGAAAATGTATCTAAATAAAATACATGTAACTAATTACTCTCAGATGTGAACCATCAGGTACATCGCAAAAAGCATACATGATGATCATTTCAACATTAATATTGTTGGGGCTGAGGAATTATTTGTGAACTAATTTATATAAAAGGGAAGAGACCAACCGAAAAAATGTCTATACTCTTCCACATCATCTCTTGGGGGGTGAAGAAATAAGCTCATTTCTCTCTTAACTTCTTGGTTATGGCAAAGGCAACACCTGCCACAGCCACAACTATGCCTGAAACAATAATGGCTGATTTTAGTGTTTGCAAGGCATCCTTCTTTTTCTTTTCCTTTTTCTTTTGTTGGATCCCTTCTTGTTCCTTCAACCAATCAACCAATCATGTACACATCACAATAATCAGTGCAACATATATACTGAGATAATATTTGTATAAATTTCTCAATTAATATTTATAAGGGAAGAAAATAAAAAGATAAAATGAATTATGTTTTTCATATAAGTTAATTTATAAAAGTCTTTTTATTTAGAAAGCTGATTTATAACATGTATATCAACTAATTTTCACTTCTGGAATAAACTTAATTCATTTTAACCTTTTATTTTCTCATAAATATTTATCATGAAGTTTACTCAAACAAATTTGTAAAAAAAAAAAAATACACTTTTTTCTATACATTAATGTTGATGAGGTTCAAACCGAGGAAGTCAGACATACTATTTCAATCCCACCACTACAAGGAAAATAGAATGGTTCCAATATACAAATGACAATGTTCTTTATTGGTAGTACCTTCAAATACTTTGTGACAGACACTTCTGATGATATAGGATCTTCATGAAAATTAGTATCATGCCCGGGATTCAGTTCCCCATCAATATCTACTGGCGGAAACGATAGATCTGGGTTCTCAGGTGGGCTTCCCATTTTCTTCTTCTAGCTTTTACTTGATAATATACTGTAACCTCCTTTTTGAATTCAATTGTATGAGAGAAGGGAGGGGAGGAAAAAAAAAGGCACATTCATGATCAAGATTTCATGGCCAATTCAATGCCAAAATGTTGCTCAAACTAACTCAATTGACACGTGCTAATGTTCCAAATATTGAGGTTGTTAGAGTTTTATGGGTCTCAAACTTACCGAGATAATTGTTCACACTCCACTAAACATTCGGTGATTAGGACAAAGAAAAAGCATGATGGTTTCTTAAAATAAAAGAACAAATGGTGGCAGACTCTTCTGTCCGCTAAATATTGCCATTCCGGTTATTTTAGTTCCACATTTTTTTTAGTAAAACTAAAATGTTCCAACTACGAACTACCAATCCGTTCAAATGAATTATGTTAGACATTCCATTTAATAATTATTTAATTTAGGATGTAAACGAATTGTTATTTGTTAATCATTCAAATTTAATTTATTAAATATCCATTTAAATTTATTAGTTTTGCTAAACAAAGTCAAGTTTATAGTTAAACTCAAGTCCTTTAATTATTTTAAGTATAGCGAGACAAACTTGAAGAACCTATTTTTTCTCATAGGGCAAGCCTGACCTTACACTCCTACTCAATGCTACCTCATGGGAAAAGAATTTAACTAAAAATGAGAAATTATCACCAAAAGAACCAACTTAATTTGTTTTATTTCCTAAATAAATGATGTACAAACATAAAATACACTACTCCAAAGCTTGTGAATAACAAATTATAAATTTTTCAACGATATTGTTGCATATATATGCATGTTATTTCAAAAGAATAAGTCTCATATTGTTTAAACAACTTAAGTGTTGAACCTTTATATATCAAAATGTTCTTAACACTTTCAAAGGGCAAGTAAAGAGTGTTCAACTTGCACATATAAGAATAGACCTTGTGAACCCGTTGTAATTTAAATATGTCAATTTGTCCCCCTCCTACCCATGTAAAAATGGGATCTGAAAATATTTTATTTTTTATTACTGTTCCTACCGTAAGTCCACTATCATCGTTAGAGTCACCGCATATGAGAAATTGTCCGTTTTGGCACTCATTGGACCATTAAGTTTTTGTCCTTTAAAAGGCGTCTCAGTGAGTTAAAGAGGGAGGGTATTTATAAATTACCCTTAGCCTCGACTCTTGAGCGATGTGAGACTTTTAGACATACCGGAACAAGCCCTCCAGTCAATGCTAAGGGGCAAGAGTGGCCTAGGCCCTCCTTCTTGCACCAAATGTTCCTACCGGGCCGTCACGATTTTGTCCTTAAAAAGGTGCCTTGGTGGTTTAAGCAGAAAGGATGTTTATAAACTATCCTTAGCCTCAACTCCTAAACGATGTGATACTTAGGCACATCAGAACAATTACATTAAATTATTTTAATTAATTGAGGCAAATCCTGGTGTAGATGAGCCAGATTATAAAGTAGTTAGAAAATCAAATGAAAAATATGAGTAACAACATTCCATTCCCACGCCAAGATACAAGGTTTAGATTGTACAAGAATGACACCCATATTTCTTAGATTTGCATATCCCGCATACAATGATACAACTCATCTCTGCCTAAATTACATCGACCTCCTGGACAACCCTCATTGCAATATGAATTGATCTCATGATGGTAATTAATTATTTTTGCCGAAGAAAGCTGAAGCAAACAGGTAGGAGCCATATAAATTGCTCTAATGATGGTAAAGAATTATTTTACTGAATAAAGCTAAATCAATCTAGTTGATTCACTAGTGACCCGTTGATCCAGCTTTCCATTATATTGTTTAGTGTTAAACCCTATAGAAAATTTCAATTTTTACTCCCAAAACCTCGAGGAGTAGGCCTTGCTGGCGTTGAGTCGGCAAATGGACTCCGTGATTCCGATCTCTTCCTCCTCCTTGCAGTGCCAGGTGGTGCCTAATAGGGACAAAATGCAGAAACCAGAAATCATCAACTGTTATGGTAAGTAACATGCAAATGAAAGTACAAGCTCAATATTCACAATTAAGTTCTGTATTTTGTTCCATGCTTTTTTTTCTTTAGGATGTTCTGAAATGCAAATGACTTCATAACTTCAATAGGATGTAGAAGGTTACAACAGTACTACAGCACGCCCATGTTTATTGAATTAAAAATATTTTCCGGGGATATCTATTTTCCCGAAGAAATGGATAAAATATCCAGACACAGTGCCATCTTGATACCACCCCGAATAGTAAAAAAAAAATTAAAAGAATCAAAAAAAATGAAAAATGGGATCTATGTCCAATGGATCACAATTACAAAAAAAAAAAAGTATTTTGTTTTGGTTCGACCCGTCATTTTATATGAAATAGCGGATGGTATCAATTTAGTAAAACTTTTTCCGAAAGATATGTTCCAAGAAAGAGATAATCTGGAACTTAAAGTTATAAATTATATTCTTTCTAGAAATGGAAAATCAATTCGGGGAATTTATGATACAAGTATTCAATTAGTTCGGACTTGTTTAGTCTTAAATTGGGATCAAAACAAAAAATGTTCTTCTTTAGAAAATGCGCATGCTTCTTTTGTTGAAGTAAGTACAAATGGTTTGGTTAGATATTTCTTAAGAATTGACTTAGTGAAATCCCATATTTCATATATAAGAAAAAGGAATGATCCGCTCGGTTCAGGATTTATCTCAGATAATGAGTCGGATCGGACCAACATCAATCCATTTTTTTCTATTGATTCGAACATCAAAAGAAGCTTGGAAATTAAAAGAAGCTTGGAAATGACATCAAGGGATTAGGATTATTTCAAAACGATCTCATAGCATGGATTAAATGCACGGCAGGTTCACATTTTAAGCATAACACATCAGACATGCTACAGCTACATTGAACTAGTGAATTGCCGACCAAAGGATACCTATAGATGAAGGTTCTCAATACCTAGTAATTTTTTACACCAACAAGCCCAGTTAATTAAAAAACAAGATAAAATAACTAGAAAATGTTAAATCTCATATTTAGAAAATGAAATCACCTTTTCCTCAGCTTTAAGCGCTTCCTCAAGATTGCTAAGTGTTGGAAGTGATCCACTTTCCATTACACCCATCAGGTTCTTCATACGAACACGCATTTGGAAAAGTTGAGCTACAAGTTGGCTTACCTGATATTATTGTTGGACAGTCCCTTAAGTTAGGAAGTATAGCACTGGTAGAGAAACCACAGATTCTAAGGTCACTAAGAAAGTTAAATCAGAAAGAAATTTCATTTTACATACCTGCTGTTCAGTTTTCCCTGAATCCTGAGCAACCCTTTTCCTCCTAATAGGTGATTCTGCCAACAGTTCTGGCTTTTCCCTCTCCTCTGGAAATAAACAAGAAAGGTTGGTTTAGAAAAATCAGTTAATCTACTATATTCACATATTATAAGGTAAAATACCAAAGTTTTCCTAACAATAAAAAAAGAAGCATAAAATTAGCATTTTTATCATGTGAGAACCAATGGAATCTCGGCCCTGGGGTCTATCTGTTAATTTTGTAATAAGAATTTTTATGTAATGACTCTGCTCAATGATGACGTGCTAACCCATGGCGCAGATATGTATTATGTTCCTTAAATACATATATTATAAAAAGGAAGCAGGGGAAAGTACTAAATAACACCACCATTGAAGTCTATACATGTAAAAACACCTCCTGTCTCATTCAAGCTAAAAATCTCCATGGAAAACTAATTGATTAAAATCCCAGGGGAGAATGGATTAAGTATTGATTAAAAAACTGGGAAAACTAAACGGTAAAGACAGCTTGCAGGTATAAACTAGATGTTTCAATGAAAGCAGGCAATTAAACAATTGGGTTAAAAAATAGAAAACACTTAACTGAGTTTCAAAAAATACAGGGAAAAAACATTGCTGATCAAAAATAGACTTGGTAGCATAAGCGAAAGTAATCGATCAAAAGACATAAGTCAGCCAGGTCATGCAAGTCATCAATATATGTTGCATGCATGTTACCTCTATCATGGCTAACTTAAGTATTTTTAATTTTATTTATTAAGAAAAATAATTTACATAGATAAAGATGATATGAGCAATTTTTATTTAAAAGATATCATGGGTCAGTAGAAAGAAAGGACCAGGGGTCATTGCTTCTATCATCACTTCCATATTCTGCAAATTCTTCTCTGCGTCTCGAATTTGAGCAGGAGTAATCTGTATGCATTCAGATGATATTATAAGTTTTATAACATCTACTAAAACAAAACCACAAATATCAAGAAAAGTTCACAAATGCTTAAGCAATGCTCAATTTTAAGCTTCATAAGCCAAAATTAGGAGTTTCTTATCAGATAAATCCCTCCTTTGTTCACAATTGCTATGGAGGCATAACATACATAAAACTGTCATAAATAGAAATATTTAGTAAGATTCAAGTGTGGGAACTCATACCTTCCCCATTCCAGGAATCATTCCAATGACACGAGACACAGAACCCATTTTTGCAACTGTACGGGTTTGCTTTAGAAAATCGTTGAAGTCAAACTTTGCACTCATGATCTTCTTTTGCAGTTCTTCAGCATCTTCTTGACGCATCTATAATGAATGTTGTTAATAATTGATTTTTTTGTTTTTGATTTTTGTCAATCATAATATAAAAATATAGTGAGACTTACAACTTCTTGTGCCTTCTCTACAAAGGAAAGAACATCTCCCATTCCTAGTATGCGTCCTGCCATCCGATCAGGGTAGAAAGGTTCAAGATCCTCCATGCGTTCCCCTCGTCCTACTAGTTTAATTGGCTTTCCAGATACCTGCCATCATTGAACTATCCAATTAAACAAATATAAGAGAGAAAGAAGGAGAGAGATTTAAAATGTTGGGCTACATTAATCACTTGACAATTCTAAATGTGTTTATTTCTTTCCACCCTATTTTTTCTTCATCCTAACAAAGTGTAAAAATTGTCACTTCAACAACTCAATTAAATAAAGCAAGATCTCCCACAGATGAGGCATACCAAAATCTGTATATTCATGTACTAAATGTAGCATCAGTAGTGTATGCATTGCAATTTTAGCAAGAGACAAGAAAAATATAACATGGAAGTAAAAATGGGAAAAAAATGCCATACTACATGTTTCTAAGTTTAAATATTTGAGGTCAATAATACAAAATGATGAAGAAATTAATGAGA